AAAAAGGGGTGGGTGGGGAGCGAGCATAACTGAACCAGGAAACAAGAAGTATGAGGTCCAGAGCCGCCTGTGTCATCCACCAGCCGGGTGACTTAGGTCGGCTCAGCAGCAACGGAGAAATCAGACCTTGATCGCTTTTATGGCTGTTTGAGCTCCATGATGCACCGATAACCTTAGCAATACTTGGCGCCACATTCCTGAGGGAAAAGGGCAAAAAAAGAAAAAAACACACACACAGAGAAATGTGCCCCAGCTGGTGTGGCTCAGTGGATGGAGTGTCAGCCCATGGACTGAAGGGTCCCGGGTTCCAGCCCAGTGAAGGGCATGTACCCCGGTTGCAGGCTCTATCCCAGGCTCTGGTCTGGGTGTGTGCAGAGGCAATCAATGGATGTGTCTCTCTCACATCGATGTTTCTCTCTCTGTCTCTCCCCCTTCCTTCTACTCTCTCTAAAAATCAATGGAAAAATGTCCTTGGGAGAGGATTAAAAAAATAAGAAGAAATATTTGCATCAAGCTTTTTAATATACTAAACTGCTCTTTCCTACTAGTATATGTGCCGGTTAACCCAGTGGGCATCACACACAGCATAAGGGCCTGTGCCTGGGTTGTGGTTCGATCCCCCGTGGGGGGCGTGCAGGAGGCAGCCGATCCATGATTCTCTCTCATCATTGATGCTTCTCTCTCTCTCTCCCTCCCTCTCTTTTCCTCGCTGAAATCAATAAAAATATATTTAAAAAATAAAAAATATTTAAAAACAACAACAACAAAAAACTCACAAAAACACAGAAATTTGGATTCTTCCCATGCGTTTGTTGTCCTTGGGGCGCTGCACTCAATCCCGGCTCTCTCCCATGGGCTGCACTGCTCATCGCACCTGCGCAGGTGTCTCTGAGGGAGACCCAGACCCGAGGGGAGGCAAGATGATACTCGAAGAAGCCGAAAGGGGGATTCTGTAACTGCTTAGTTTTCCACTCTGCGCTCCTTTAAAACCACTTCCGAGTGACAGCTCCGAACCCCAGGCAGGTGCCTGAGGTAGCGCTGTGCACCCCCAGGGACTCCGTGTAAAATCTTTTTCTCTGAGAGCAGCTATTGTCTTCCCAGGAAAAGCTTTTAGCATAATGGCAGGTGGAACACAGCACCGCTTTTGTGAGACTATTTTTTTAAGAAACGGAAAGAAAAGGAGAAAGGGATTCTTCAACCAATGCAAAGGCGGCCTCAAGCTCCCCCCATCTCGGGCCCCCTGGGAAGAGCAGTGTGTGGGGCCCAGGAGATGGGGGTGGGGGGGAAACAGGGGGGAGGAGGTAGGGGGACGGTTAGCTCCCCTCCTGAGAATAGAAAGGTTATGTTCTCCTCTTTTAGGGGACGATCAAAGCAGGCTGGAGGTGCCTCCCATCCCAAAATAGGAGCTCCGCCCCCTCCCACCCACCTTGGATCTTTCTTGCCTTCTCCCCAGTGAGTCACTTAGTGACTACGGTACTTGGCGAATGGGTTTCTAACAAGAGAATGACATTCTCCCTCAGAAAAATTTCCACCTACCAGGTCCCCATCAGTTCACTCCCCAGTCTTCTCTTTTGTCTCCCACACCTCTTTTTTTTTTTTTTTAATATGTTTTAATTTATTTCAGAGAGAGGAAGGGAGAGGAAGAGAGAGATAGAAACATCCATGATGAGAGAGAATCATGGATCGCCTGCCTCCTGCACGCCCCCCACTGGGGATCGAGCCTGCAACTCAGGCATGTGCCCTGACCGGGAATCGAACCCTGACCTCCTGGTTCATAGGTCGAGGCTCAACCCCTGAGCCACGCCGGCCGGCCGGCGGGCTCCCAAACCCTCTGCATTGCAAAGCACTCGTCATTCTGCTTGGTCTTTCTTGCCTATGGAAGGTGGGGAACTAACTGTACAAACCAACTTTACAAGCTGGCTGGTTCCAGGTACGCCCCACTTGCACACTGTGTGTGTGTGTGAGAGAGAGAGAGAGCGAGCGCACATGTGTGCGCTTTGCCAGGGCTCTGGGACTCCACCCCCTTCCTCTCCAAGCCTGGCTGACCTTGAGCTAGACAGCAGTCAGCACAGTGAGGGAAGCCCCTGATCACAGGCTGGAAATGGGTGATGATTCTACGCAGGCAAGTTCAACCCTCTTCCCATCTCCCCCCGCCCCCCACCCCCGCCTTCTCTCTGAGGTTCAAAAGTCCGTTCCGTGCAAATACTTTCAACAATAAAGATACAATCCCTCCATCAATCAATCAATCAATCAATCAATCAATGATAAAGGCTGGAAAACAGGACGCAGAGTCCCGATTGTGTCTTAGGACAGGAAGTGATGTCACTAGCAAACTGCTCTCCATGCCAACCAGCCATTCCAGCCCCCCACCCCCCACCCCCGCCTGCCTTTATTTTTTCCGCAATTTATTTTTTCTCCCTTTCACAACAGAGCGACAGTAGTATTTATCCCCAAAATGTAGACACACCTTTTCCTGGCAGTTCAACGGATGTCTCTTTCGGTTCAGATTGAACCCCTTGGAATGAATAGTCATGCAAAGCATGTCTGCTTGTTTGGGGACACCCTGTATTTGTGGTCACGTGTCTGACAGAGCAAGCAAACCCAGTCTCCTTCGATTCAGAGCAATTCTTGGGCCGTGCCAGGAAGGGCGGGGCTGGTATTGCTATAGAGATGGGCCAGTCCCCAAACGTTTCTGGAGCTTTGGTTCTCCACGGGACAGATGGGTCCCTGAGACTCTGAGACCCTCACCCCGACCACCACCCCGATCTTCAAAGGAGGGGTCCCCTGTGTCACTCACGGAACTGCTCCAGGTGGGCCGGGCTGGCCGAGGCGGGCATGGCTGTGACCGTCACCAGCGGGCAGGCGTTGCCTCCCAGCGTCCGACAGAGCGCCTCCTGCCGGAAGTACACCGTCTTGGGGTCCACACTTTTTTCCAGGAGGTCCAGGTGAGTCTGGAGCGGAAACAGAACAGGAGCGTGCACGGTTAAGATTTGGGGACCATGATGCCCATCGCAGAAAACAGCAACACAGCTTACACTTGTGTGAGCCCTGATCGACTCTGGACGTTACTGTGGGACCCTGACCGGCCCAATGTTGGGTGTGAAGTGATTGAAGAGGGGGCTCTTCCAGCTGCCCAGGGGATGGTCCATGGGGCTGAGTGGGGAGCAACATTCCCGCACAGCCCTGAGGTACCGAGTGTCTGATTTCTACGGCACGGAAGGCGAGAGGACGGGGCACACGGCATCACTGACTGCCTGCCTCCTGCACGCCTCACACTGGGGATCAAGCCTGCAACCGGCCATGTGCCCTGACTGGGGATCGAACCGGTAACCTCTTGGTTCATAGGTCAAGACTCAACCTTTGAGCCACACAAAGCAGGTGATGGAGGTTATTTTTAAAAAGTGATTGTGTGTGTGTGTGTGCGTGTGTGTGTGTGTAAAGGTAAATTCAAAGATGCACATCTATGTATACACAAATACTCATTCTTGGGTCATACGTCCTTCTGCAACATGAGATGCCAGAGGGAATGAAGACCTACCCAGAACTTGAAAGTAGAAGAAAGGCTGAAAATCCAGTAAACTTATAATCAGCCAAGTTTCTGCTCATAGGCAAATGGAGCATATATGCTCAGATATGCAAGAACTTATAAAATAGATCACACCCGGCCGGTGTGGCTCAGTGGTTGAGTGTCGAACTACGAACCAGGAGGTCCCGGTTCGATTCCTGGTCCGGGCACATGCCCAGGATGCAGGCTCGATGCCCAGGAGGGGGCGTACAGGAGGCAGTCCATCAATAGTTCTCTCTCATCATTGATGTTTCTCTCTCTCTCTCTCTCTTCCTCTCCCTTCCTATCTGAAATCAATAAAAATATTTTTTAAAAAAGAAGAAAGGGAGAGAGGGAGGGAGGACCGAAGGAATGGAAAAAAAGCAAAGAAGCATAGAAAAGAGGATAAAATCGAAATGATAGAAGTGACACCAAAATTTGCTATAAGTCTAAATAGGTTAAACAGTGTTATTAAATGGCAAAATTCTTCAGATTCGTTTTTATGAGTCCCACTGTGTGTTGTCCATAAGAGATGCTTTTGAAGAGAGAAGAAAAAATAAAAACCCACGACGTATATGAAAACATGCCTACATTATCTATTTCGTTTGCCTCTCCTAAAATATTTTAAGAGAGAAATATTGAAACGCAAAGGCTAAGCAAACATAAGTTATAACCGGCACGGCCGCGGAAATATGCAGCGGAGCCATATTCAAGAACAAGTCCCATTAAATGGGACTTAAAAGTCTTATTTTGACAAAGGGCACAATATGCAATGAACGTGTAAAACTCATAAATCTGAGGAATCAAATAACATCGGATTGAAATATGCAACGTGAAAATGGCAGGAGGAGAAACATTGTACCCGGAATGAGGGACGCCAAGACGGTACCTCCGTCTTGAATAAATCAAATACAGAAAAATAATGATATAGTGCATTGGAGCAATATTATTTTTATAGATATATGTCAAGCTTTTTCTTGACAGAGAACATCCTTTTATTTTTTTCCTCAAGCACCCATGGAACTGTGACAAAATTTAACCATATCCAGGGCTATAAAAATTCAACAACTTTTCTTTCATTTGAATATATTTTTAGGGCCCTACGTGGTTTGGCTCAGTGGATAGAGCATCGACCTGTGGACTGAAGGGTCCAGGGTTCGATTCCGCTCAAGGGCACATGCCCGGGGTTGCAGGCCTAATCCCAGT